CTCCTCTCTCCCCTCTTCCGCCCGCCTTCCTCCTCTTCCCCTCTCCTCGTCCCCCTCGGACTTTGGCTGTCGGGGCGGCTTAGGCCCTCGCTGGTCCAACTGGCAGTGATGCTGGCTTGGGGCTTCCTCAGGCCCACCCCCGCATTCTCCCCTCACCCTTGTCCTTGCGGCTGGAGACCTTTTTATTGCCGCCCCCCTTCGGAGCTCCCACCCATTTCTCCATGCCCAGAAGATTGTCTGCATTCGCTGTCTCCAGTTTAGTTTCCTGCCCGAGCTCGCGTCGGGGATCCAGGAACCTAGGCCTTCAAACAGCGAGACCTCTCTATTGTCTTCCTGCGGCTTTCACCCCACTGTCAGCTCCCTGCCCCACTCCCTCTTTCTCCCCTGACCACCCCTCCCATCTTTGGCCAGCTCAGCCGCCTTCGGCCTCTTTGTTGTCTGCCCCAGCCCTGGATTCGGCACCACCCCCATCTTCATCCCAGGAGGACTCCCAGATAGAGACCTCGGAGCCCCAGCCCTTATAAAACACACACATGTCTCCAGGGTGTCTGGAGTTCAGTGTGACCAATACCCAGCCCCTGACATTCTTACTATGCCTGAGCCTCTGCCAAGGGCACTGCCTTTCCACCCCCAAGAGCCAGAGACCTGGGGATTGGCCTCGTTCTCCCTGACCCCACCCTCACCTTCACCCCCCATCTATCACCAAGGCCCACACATCTTCGCCTCCTAAAGCTTTCTTAGATCTCTGTCCACATCTCATCACCACATTCTCCATTAGATCTCAGACCACTGCTGTCTCCTTCCTGGACTGTTGTGATGGTGTCCTTAGGAGGCCTCTCTGCTTCCTCTCTTGGCAGCCAGAGGGATGCTTAAATCATCTGTCACAGTCACCTCCATTCTCCTCACCTGGAAAAACCTTGGGAGCTTCCATCTTGCTCAGGGTCTGGGTATAGAGAGTAAAAACAGTCCCTTGCTACCCTTTCCTCTGTCTCTCCCACCTATAGAGCTTCTTATCTCCTCCATGTTCCCTCTTGCCACAGGGCCTTTGTACATGCTGATCCCTCTACCTGGAATGCTCTTTCTCCACCGTGTTATCTGATTAACTCCTCCTTTTCTTCTGTGATCATACTGCATTGTCACTTTCTCAGAGGAGACTTCCTCAACCTTTCCAGCTAGGTAAGAGACATTCATTCACTCATTTGTTTATTCATTTTACAGCAGTGCTAGAAGCCCAGGATGCAGGGAAACCCCAGCTTTGTTTGTGGGGAGGCTGAGTGGGTGAACACTAAGCATGTCCAGAGAATCCTGAATAAGATGATTCCTGGTAATAGATGTCTGGCTGGTTCAGAGTGCAGCCAGGCAGCCTGTGTGGATGAAAGGACTGAGCTAAGGGCTGGGGGAGAAGACAAATCAGACAAGGGGTGGAGCCACATTGTGGAGGACAAGGCCTTGGTGTTTGGATTTTACTCCAAATTCCCTGGGAGGAGGCCTGGTGAAGATTAGAACAGAGGATGACCTGGTTCTGATCTGTGTTAATTAAAACATGCCTCAAAACTGTAACTCAGTAATAAGAAGAAAACAAGCCAATTTAAAGAATGGGCCAAAGATCTGAACAGATGATTCAACAAAGATATATGAACTTCCAAGAAGCATGTGAAAAGATGTTCAATATCATTAGACATCTAAGAATGTGAATTAAAGCCACAATGAAATCATATTGTACTCTACACCTATCAGAATGGCTTCGTAAAAGGGGATGCTGCTGTTTAAGTGCTCGTGAGGACGTGGAGCTACCAGAACTCTCAGACAGTACTGACGGGGTGGAAATTGTTACCACCCCTTGGGAAGACAGTTCGGCAGTTTCTTTCTTTCTTTTTTTTTTTTTACATCTTTATTGGAGTATAATTTGCTTTACAATGGTGTGTTAGTTTCTGCCTTATAACAAAGTGAATCAGTTATACATATACATATATCCCCGTATCTCTTCCCTCTTGTGTCTCCCTCCCTCCCACCCTCCCTATCCCACCCCTCTAGGTGGTCACAAAGCACCGAGCTGATCTCCCTGTGCTATGCGGCTGCTTCCCACTAGCTATCTGTTTTACGTTTGGTAGTGTATATATGTCCATGCCACTCTCTCGCTTTGTCACAGCTTACCCTTCCCCCTCCCCATATCCTCAAGTCCATTCTCTAGTAGGTCTATATCTTTATTCCTGTCTTAATGGCAGTTTCTTAAAAAGTTAAACAGAGACCTACCATATGACCCAGCCATTTTACTCCTAGGTATTTACCCAAGGGATATGAAAGCACATGTCTCTACAAAGGCTTGTAGGCAGATGTTTATAGCAGCCCTATTTTTAATAGCTCCCCCTGGAAACAGTCCATCGACAGGTAAAGGGATAAACTAACTGTGGGACAGTTATACAGTGGAGTGCTTCTCAGCATTAAAAAGAAATAAATCATTGACAAACGCAGCAACATGGACGCATTTTTCAGATGTTATGTTGAATGAAGAAAGACTCGAAAGGATGATACTGTATGAGTCCACTTTTGTGAAATTCTAGTTCAGGCGAAACTAAGCTGTGGTGACAGAAGTCAGATCAGTGGTTACCTGGGGGCAGGAGGAAGCTTTCTGGGGTGCTGGAAATGTTCTTTATTTTGACTGGGGTGATGGTTTTACAGGGACGTACGTTTGTCAAAACACATCAAACTGTGCACTTAAAATGGGTGCATGGTATTTCATGTAATTTATATCTCTTCTACTGAAAGGGTTCTGAGAAAAAAGAACATACAGTGACTGACTAGAGTGGCTGAGAGGGCCTAGGAGAGGGCACGCCGGTCCGGGTGGGTACCCTTGTATGAGGTGACTGGATACCCGTGACGACTGTGCATTCCCCGGCAGGCTCTGTGCTCCCTAGGGGCCTGTCATCATGGCCCGCCCCATCCCGGAACCCGTCACACAGGATGGCACCAAGAAATGTCTGCTGTGGAATGAAGCGGGGTGGCCCTTTTCCTTTTACATTCTTTGTGTAAAAGGAATATTTTCTGTTCTCCTTCACTTATTTATTTATCTTATTCTTTGGGTTATAATTATGGACTGTTGTGCTTAATTTTGTTGGTTAAGTAGTTCCATCTTTGGCCATTAGGACCTCCTTCAGGTGGGTGCCTCTGTACCTCACATGCCCCGTCTTTTTGTCTTTTTTCCGTTTCTTTTGGCCATGCGGCATGTGGATCTTAGTTCCCCGATGAGGGATCGAATCCTTGCCCTCCGCAGTGGAAGCGTGAAGTCCTAACCACTGGACTGCCAGGGAGTTCCCATACATTTCCTTATTTTCTGACACTGTAAGATGCTTCAGGTTCATCTTATATTCTCCCCATCCCAGGCCTAGGATAAGCTGTTCTTCCAAGAAGCTCCAGTGCTTTTTACTGGAGAATGGTGTTTAGCAACCAAGATCTCTCCAGACAGTTGTTTTTTTAATTAATTAATTAATTAATTTGGCTGCTCTGGGTCTTAGTTGCAGCACATGGGATCTTCATTGCGGCATGCGGGCTATTTTAGGTGCAGCATGCAGGATCTAGTTCTCTAGTTCCCTGAACTGGGATGGAACCCGGGCCCCCTGCATTGGGAGCATGGAGTCTTAACCCCTGGACCAGCAGGGAAGTCCCTTGGGGCAGTTTTTTTTTTTTAATTAATTGTTCATTTATTTATGGCTGAGTTGGGTCTTCGTTGCTGCACGCGGGCTTTCTCTAGCTGCGGTGAGCGGGGGGCTGCTCTTCGTTGCAGTGCGCAGGCTTCTCATTGCGGTGGCTTCTCTTGTTGTAGAGCACGAGCTCTAGGTGCGCGGGCTTCAGTAGTGGCGCGTGGGCTTCAGGAGTTGTGGCTCGCGGGAACGCAGTCTCAGTAGTTGTGGCGCACGGGCTTAGTTGCTCCATGGCATGTGAGATCTTCCTGGACCGGGGCTCGAACCCCTGTCCCCTGCGTTGGCAGGCGGATGCTTTTTTTTTTGCGATACGCGGGCCTCTCACTGCTGTGGCCTCTCCCATTGCGGAGCACAGGCTCCGGACGCGCAGGCTCAGCGGCCATGGCGCATGGGCCCAGCCGCTCCGCGGCATGTGGGATCTTCCCGGACCGGGGCACGAACCCGTGTGCCCTGCATCGGCAGGTGGACTCTTAACCACTGCGCCACCAGGGAAGCCCGGAAGGCAGAGTCTTAACAACTGAGCCACGAGGGAAGCCCCCTGTGGGCACTTTTAATTTGCATTTCTCTAGTTATGAGTGGATCAAACTTGGGTTTTTTGCATGTGTAAGAGCCATTTGCATTTCCTTTTCTGAGAACTGACTTTTCGCGTCCTTCACATATTTTTTCTATTGTTGATTTTTAAAAATTAATATCTAAGAATACATATATTCAGGAAATTAATCTTGAAATGTGAGTTATGAATTTTTTTTTCTGGTTTGTCATTTGCTTTGCTTTTTTGCCATACAGATTTTCCTTTTAGAACCTGCTGTTTTTCTCCTTGAAAATATAAATGTAGTGAATGACAGTAGCAGGGTCTATGATGCTCACCATTCTTAGATGTAGTGGGATGTGCCTTTCTTGGTCATGGTGTTTTGCTCTTTTGATAAACCTCTGGATTCATTTTATTAGTATTTTATTTGGGATTTTGGCCTTTGTTTTCATAAATAGAATTGACCTTTTGTTTTTATTTCATTTTATTTTTTGTGTTATTCTTTATTGTTTCCTAATGAATGCATTTAAAGCTATAAATTTTTCTCTGGGGATCACTTCATACACATCCTCAAAATATTGCTCTAGTTTGTATCCATTT